GTGGGTCCGGAGTGAGGGGCAGCAGCAAGGCTGGGGCGGGGGGTGGCTTGTCAGTGAGGGGCAACAGAATGGGTGGGGCAAGGCATTGGCGTGTCATAGCCCCCACCTCATATTCCTCTTCCCTCCTCTCCCCCCCACACCCTGTGACAGGTGTCCTATTTTTTGGACTTGGAAATATGATAACCCTACTGCTGCCTCACCCAGACTGTCTCCCGGGATGCCACACTTCCTAGACACTCAGTATTTCCAAGAGGACTTACTCTATTGTCACACAGTTGTCCATGACTCTGGAAAAATCTCTTTTTCTACATTTTTTCTTCTGCAAGACATGTCTTATTTAGGGGCAGGTGGCATGCAAGAGAATAAAGTATTTCAGGGATGTATTTTGAATAGGAAAACCTATGTGATTACACTAGGTTTATCCTAGAAAAACATGGGCAAAATTTATTAAGATGACTGGTAATTATGGATGCTCAACTGGAGACAATGGAGAAAAGCCTCATTTTCAAAAAACTATAAGCTCCAACCCTCTGAGAAACAGGTCCCTTTATTTACTTTTGAACCTCTTGGTTAAAAATTTAAATCTAAAGGGTTTCACAATTACATTTCTGGCTTGAAGCAGAAAAGCCTTTTGGCATAATTAGAACCAGACAAACAAAAATGAACACAGAACATTGTATTTATACAACAAGTTATTCATTGTGAAGAAGAAGGGGGAGAGAGAGACTTGGAATTGTCCAGAATATAGTAACAGGGCACAACCAGTAATATAACTTTCTGAGCCTGATATTCAGAAGAGGAGAGCGCCCCCAACTGCAATTAAATCAACAGGAGTGCTTTGTATTCTGAAACTATCAGTTTTACCAGGTACTAGAAAGGAAACGAGCCTGGCTAATTCACACTGGACACTATCAAAATAACCCTTCCCTAGTAGTAGGATTTTTTGCACATTTCTAAATAGAGTCAACTTTTCAAAAACTGGTATTATAGTTTCTGTGCCAACTGTTAGTGTGAGTGTGGGTATTTCCATCGCAGGATAGCACCATCTGCACTCACACTCACGATGTACTTGTTCCCAGGGCAGATCTTGAGTCGCCTGATGCTGCCGCTGTGACCCACACCAACATGAGTCACCTCACCTGTATCGTAATCCCACACTTTCACCAGATGGTCATCACCGCCTGCGTTGCGCACAAAGGAAGAACAGGTCGTTACAGTGCTTCCTTCCTTTCTTTTTGGGGATAATTCTGTCCTGGCTTTATGAAGGGAAAAAGGTGGGATACAGTGCCCTGAGCACTGCAGTGGCAATGCACCTTCTGTTCCATGAGGCACCCCACAGCTGCAAGCCATGCCCCCTGCTGCATGGCTGCAACCTATGCCCCCCGGTGTGGGGAGTGCCTGCTGGCTGCAGCTGTGGGGCGTGCAGAGCAGAAAGCATGGCATGCAGGCATGTGGGGAGCTGGCATAAGGGCTCATGGGCAGTGCCCACCAGCTGCAGCATGTGGCTGCAGTGAATGCTGGTGGGGTGGGGAGTGGCAGCTGCAGGGGGCAGCAGGTGCAAAAGTGCCCGCTGGCTGCAGCACATGGCCATGGGGTGGGTGCCACGCACCCTACATGACCCTGCACTGCACCCCATGCCATGCAGTCAGTAGGTGCTCCCCCTGCCATGGCCACTCCTCTCAATGTGCCCATCAGATGCATGCTAGCTCCTGCCCCACCCCGGGTCCGCTCCCCATGCCACATGGCTGCAGCCAGCAGGTGCTCCCTGTACCGTGGCCACTCCCCATGCCACGCTGTCTGCACACCTGCATTGCATAAGCCCGCACGTGCTGGTGGGACATGACCCAGAATGACACCAGGAGTGGCGGAGGAGAGCTGGGCAGGACCCAGAGCAGCAGCAGGGTGGGAAGTGGGGCAGGACCTGGAGTGGCAGCAGGGGGTAGAGAGCGGGGCAGGACCTGGTGCAGTGGCAGGAGGTGGGGGGTGGGGCTGGACCCGGAGTCGTACGTGGGTTTCCATGACTGCTTCTCTCCCCCCGCATCATTCAGGATGGGCATTTTGCTAGCTCTAATATAATAAAAACCTTAGTCTGTCTGTCCGTAGCTTTATGAGCGCTCTGCTTGGTTGTCTTGGCAGCCAATCATAATGCTCACTGAAACCACCTGAGTGCTCTGCAGGGACAGACACACACAGCAGAGTGGCACCATGACAATAGGGACTAAGGGGCCGGAGCACTGCTGGTCTGCCCCCGCCCCCCTCCCCCTCCTGGGCCCTGTTCCCTGGAGGCAGCGGCGGCATGGGGTG